CAATGATGATAATTAATTTTAGAATGATATATAAGTGAAGAATTTTTTGTTTTATAGTCTTGTTAATTGTTACTATTGAACTATGAACGAAGGAAAAAATAAAAAAATCAGTCTATCTTTTAACTTTTCTTCTTTACAATGACCAAAATAATCATTGACTAGACAAGGTACAACGAATAATGAAAAAATATCAACAAATTTACCTCAAACTTCATTGCAATCGAAATCATTTGCTTCAACTACACCATTGACTAATTCTTCTTGAGTTTCATTGCAATCAAAATCATCTACTTTAAACACCTTAACTATGCCATTACAATTACCTATATTAGCAAAAGCAATCACATCATCTCAAACAGTACAATTAACTGCATCAACACAATTAACAAATTTAAACAACTCATTGCAGTCCATTTCTTTAACTAAAAAAAGAAAAGCTGATGCAGCAACTTCTGACCTTCCTATGACTACTACTAGCAATAAGTTTAGCAAACAATCATCTATAAGTTTTGTAAGTTTTATTTTATTTTATTTTATTTTTTTTAAAAAAAAATACTTAAAAATATAATGATTCTTTTATAATTTAGCTCTAAGTCATTGTTAACTCTTCTTCTTCTGCTGTTCTTCATGATGAAAATCCAGGTTAATATATTTATGTCGTTAATATGTATTTTATCTTTTAATATATTGACTAATAATGTATTATTTATTAGTGCTACCACCTGTTGATTTATGAACTCTGTTAAAGATTTTAAGCATCAGACAAAAAAGCTTTACCCAAATTGAACATATTACTAGAAAACAAGCTAAACTTGAATATTTTATCACTGAACAACGAAAGCAGCTTGAACAGGTTCTTGAAAAGTTGAATGATACTGAAGGAATGTATAATTCTGCTATGAGCAAAAAAAACGGAAAAAGAAAATGAAAAAAAACAGCAGATGATTTGTTTCAAGTAGTTGCTTTTTAACTCATTAATTAGATTTAATTTTTGTATTATTCATCTATATATTTATTACATGTACTGTAGGAAGCAGTTAGAGAACTTTCATATAAATTATTTCATGACCATAAGCAAATAAGCGATGCCGAAATGAAAGTGCGACTCAAAAATAAGTTAGAAAACAATAAAAATTGTGCAGAACACTTGCACCTTTTAGAAGAAAAAGGGTT